ATGGCGTGTTTCACACGTGAACCTTGGCCTCGCGGCATCGCGTGTGCGATATGGAAAAATTATCGACATGTGGCCTCTCGGGCGGAAAGCCCGTGCAACCTCCAGTAAGGGCGGCCCGCCTGGAAGGCGCGCAGCCAGGCGGGTACCCCGCGACAGGACACCGTCGCGGTCGCCCCCCGTAAGACAAATAGAACACATCTACGCGGAACCCAAGGGCCTTCGGAGCTCGATCCCCAACAGCCGTCCAGTGAGCCTGCAGAGCTCGCTTCAGAAAACCTCTTTGCATCGATCGAACCCGTCGCCGTGTGCGTGGTAAGGACCGTTCCGTCCTCGCCGAACGTGAGGATGTGTCCACGAGCCACTCCAGCGAAACAACAGACCCTACCCTCATCCGCTCACAAGGTCGGCAGCGGGACACCGAATGCCCGCACCGCAACCGTCGGCTCCAACGCAGTCACAAGAATCAGCGGGCCCCCGAACTTCATTATGAAGGTGATCGGCATCGAACCTTCCTCAAAAATCGGCTCCCCGAACTTCCGCGGCCTCCCGAAGGTCCGCAGTCCCGTCCCGTCCGTCAGCTGCACCAGCCTCAGCTCGAACAGCAGCATGAAGAACCTCGACCTCGAGACCTCCAGGGAACAACAACACCATGGAGGTGCTTCTCGTTGGCCTCGCTGCCCTCGGTGCCGTCGAACTCCATCCCGCCATCAGACTTCAACTTGGCACATCCGTCCAGGGCTCGCGCACGAACGCAAGCGTCAACTGCTCCTCGACCGTTATCCTGCATATCGGAATCCAACTCACCACGAAGCTCGGTTCCACCAGCGTCCACGGACGCCCAGAGGTCCGCAGCTACGTCCCCTCCTTCAGCTGCTCCAGCCTCAGCGCGAGCATCAGCGGCGCCCTGGAATTCATCGTGGAGATCATCGACCCCCAAGCCTCTACAAAAAGCATCGCCATTATGATACCCCTCGCTGTCCTCCTCGGAGGCCAGCACATCAGCAGCAGCATGCCCCTAGTGAACTTCCCCCCCCCTCGAACAGCGTCTTTTCCTCGCTGACCTCCGCCATCTCCTTCCGCCTGGTGCCGCCAACGTCCTCGACCATGCCCGCGTTCCTCTCCGAACACTTCTGGGAACCCACGCCCTCGAAACCGTCAAACTCCATCCCGCCCCCAGACTCCGACTTGTGGTAGTTCAGCAGCTTCGCGTGGCTGGGCGGAAACTTGACGGGTGGGTCGCGCTCCTCGTGGGCCACGTCCTCGGACTTAGTCGAGGACTTGTAGATGCACTCCTCCCGCGCCATGTGCCTAGGCCGGGCTCACGGCGATGTTGCTCAAGCGTGATGTTGGGAACCACATTCTTGGAAATCGCGAGCCACGCTCTCTACACGTCCAATATGCGGTTGGATCGCACGGACACGACACGGCGAATTGCAGGAGAGCGCGAGCCACGCGCTCCCGCAGTGCCAACACGCGCATCACCGTCACCTACATCGCCGTTCGCCCGTCTGCGGCATGTGTTGACTACCTACCAGACCACCCCAACCCAACCCGAAGACCCGAATTTCGGGTTGGGGGGGGGCAAGGGTTCCATACGTGTTTTTTCGATGGTTCCCGCCCCCCCCCCAACTGGAAATCGAGGGTAAATTTGAGCCTTCGGGTTGGGTTGGGGTGGTTTGGTGGGTGGTGATGTGTGGCCAGAGCCTCCTGTCCCCACGACGGCGCGCCGCCATCAATCCATCCATCCAGCCATCCATCCATCCATCCTACACCCTGCGAAATGCTTAAGAAATCATGGGCTAAGAAACTCATAGTCTCAGAACTTGAATAAAAACCCAACGTGTCTATTCAAATCTTAGGATTTGCATGGAAACATTAAGAATAATCGAGACTCTGGCCGAACATTTAAGTTTTCTTAAGCATCGCCTAAGGTGTACATTGAAGTCCCCATCCCCCCTGACGCTCCTGCGCTGGCGTGCAGGGCGTGTGCGAAACACCAGGCGCTCGTCCCCTACACACAGCGCGCGTGCAGCGCTCGAGACTGCACTGGTGCAGCCCCGGCCGAGGGCCCGGCTCTCTGCCACCTCTGCAGGCCCGAGCTTCGTCAAACCCTCTTTTCTTAAACACGAAGTGCTGGGAATCGCCTCGCCCCTGGGCGTGTGGCTGCTGATCCATACACCAGGCCGCCAGAAACAAGAACGAATGAGCAACACGCTGACGGGCTCCAGACTGCGGCGCTCCATTCTGAAGGTGCCCTGGGACACACAAATAAACAGACACACATAACAGGACTCCCCATAGGTTCCCATATGCTCTGGGTTTTCGTCTTCCCCCCCGCTTCCCATACCTTCCCATACCTTATGGGGAATCGACGATTCATTGTGCCTGTGTGTTTTTCCCTCCTGACATTCCACGGATGTTCTCTTTCCCTGCCGAACCTTCCCTCGCGCTTCGAGGAGACCGCGGCCAGTCTGTTCCCCTCTGCCCCCCCCCCCCTCACCCGCGTTGCCCACCGCTCCTCCCTCCCGCAGCTTCTTTTTCCAGGGTGGAGGAGCAGCATGGGGGGAAGGAGGAGCTCAAGGAAGGATCGCCCCGGCAGGACCCCCCGTCCCTCCCCCCTCCTCTCTCCACCTGCGGGCGCTTCTCCGACGGCCTCGCGGGCAGCCTGACTGTGGATCATGGGGACAGCGGCGATCCTCCTGCCACTGGCATCTCCCGACCCCGCCGCGCCACCCCCGCGCAGCCCGCCCAATTTCCCTCGAACTCCGACGTCGTGATCCTGTTGGACCGTGACCCTCAGAAAAATGGACTCCTTCCCCGAGAGCGGCGTCTCGAAGCGAGGCGTTTGTTTGCGGCCCGGGGGCCCAAGAACAGAGGCCCTCAGAGGCCGAAAATGTCCCCGAACCCTCACTCGCCCGTGGTTGAGTTCATAGGGGTCGGAGGATCGCGCCGTATCGGCGATGCATCGGCGATGCGTTGTCGATGCATCAGCGACGCCGGCGATGCACCAGAGACGTCAGCGCAGAGAAAATCTGGCTCCACATCGAGCCGCAACGCCGATGCATCGGCGCGACGGTGCGACCCGGTGAGAATCCGGTCCCTGGGAGGATAAGCCCAGACCTCAGGTGATGGGCCTGTTTTCAACCACCACCGCCACAAGTTGGAGAGGGGAAGAAGGAGGAGGACGAGGAGGAGGAGGACGAAGAGGAGGAGGAGGAGGGGGGGAGGTGGAGGAGGGTGAGAAGGAGGAGGAGGAGGAGGAGGAGGAGGAGGAAGTGGAGGACCCCCTCCCCCTCCAACTTATAATAATGGTGGTGGTGGTGGAAAACCCGCCAATCATCGAGGGGGTCGGGGTCCACGTCGTGAAACGAATCGTGACGTCCAGGGTCTGGGCTCCCAACGGCCCCACGTCGCGCAGGGGGGTGCCCCGGGGGTCCTGCGCCAGCCGCCGGGCCGCTCCGCGGCGGCCTTGCGCGGCCGATGCGGGGAGGAAGGGGGAGGCTGGGCCAGGGGAGGAGGAGGAGGAGGAGGAGGAGGAGGAGGAGGAGGAGGAGGAGGAGGAGGAGGAGGAGGAGGAGGGAGGAGGGAGGAGGGGGAGGCCGGGACGGGGGAGGAGAGGGCGGGCGGGGCGTGCAGGAGAAGCGGGTCGGCAGCGGCGGGCGCACACTGCTCGACGCACGAAACCTCGGCCTTGTGCCAGATATCTTCACGGGGCCTCCTCCTCCTCCTCCTCAGTGGTCTGAGGCCTTGGGTCGGCAAACCGCTGTCTATCTCAGGGGTACTGGCCCAGGCGGTGGTGACGCTCTTGATTATCAGAAGGCTCCTGCAGGACGAAAAGAGGGTGAGAATGAGGAAGATGATGATGGGCACGGAGGTGGAAGGAGACGAATGGTGTGTTGGCCCCAGGGCTGAACGGTCAGCGAAATTGTCAGCGCGGGGCTTGGGCTGGACTTGGCCAGCCCAGGGAGGAGGAGAGGAAGGGAGGAGGAGGAGGAGGAGGAGGAGGAGGTCGAGGGGGAGGACCGACAGTGAGTCAGGAAAAGGGACGGATAGGAAAGGGCTGGTCACTGGTCCCCTCCGCTTTGCCCAGGACAGTTCGTCTCGCGCGGGGCCCCAAAGACATGATATGCGCGCCCACAGGCGCGTACGGACCAGGACGCATACACAGACGTGGAGAACAAGGAAGGGCAGTGGGAGAAACGAAGTCACCGTACTACCTAGCAAGAGTATGGACTGTGGATGTCCAGGATGAGGAACGACATCGCTGAAACTTCGTGAGCGCCGCAGCCGGCGGGATGAGGCACGGGGGCCAGGACCGGGAGCACAGGGTGGTGGTGGAGCAGCGGCCGACGGATGGGAGTTGAAGAGGAGCACGAGGGCCGCGACAAGCCAGCCGGCTGCTCGTCAACGGGAAGGGGCGCTAAGCTTAGGTCGGGCGTGTCCTCCTACAGGCTGACTTTGGAGGAACACTTGAAAACATAGAAGAATGAAACATTTGCAAAGATAGTCCAGACTATGCTTTGACTATGTTCGACTATCTCTCCTGTCGAGCGACAGACAGGCCCGACTGCACGCTGAGCGAGGGGGGTGAGAAAACGTGCAGCCTCCGCGCAGCTGTGGGGCCTGCGGCGGCTGTTCGGGAGCCGCTCCAGGGCCCCCTCGGAGCCACTATCCTGGAGCCCTCGACTCGCCATCGCTCGGGCGTACATGCCCCCCGTGCAGTCGTCGATCTTCGGGCGTGTGTTTCCCTGGGCTCGACGATCTCAGATGCTCCTCGATGGTCCTCGCCGAGAAGCAGCGCACACGTCCGAGCGATGCCAAGTCGCCCCCCCGAACGTTTGCACCCTTGCCTCCCGCACGAGGCGGTGCAGCGGCAGGAGCCACGGGGTGGTGGCGGAGCAGCAGCAGGAGATGCGCAAGCGCAGAGGACAGAGACGAAAGGGCAGAGGACAGGGACGAGGGGAGGCAGCGGCGCAGAGGCTGCGGCCAGAGGGCGCTTCTTTCTCGTCTCTATCTCTTGCAAATTAGGCGTCCCTGCCGAAATATATCGAATTCGGACGTGCACGGAGCACGCCCAGGAACTGCTGAGCCCCTGGGCAGACCTCGGCTCCCACTGCCCCCCGGCCTAACACTATGGGACGCATCCGGGCGTTTATCCCGCCCCCCTCTGGGCACGCAGGCCAAGGTTACATATGAAGCCTGGCTGACGCGAGCTCGCTGGAACAACTCGGGAGCGGCCAAGAGGGGGGTGTCCAAGAGGGGGGGGGTGCAAATCATGACCGGCGGCATGTGCGCGGCCCAGCGGGGGGGCCAGGGACGTACTGAAATAAGAAGAGGCGCCGTGAAATCTGTGGAAAACTCACCCCGCCATGATATCCACCCACCCACCCTAACCATCACCCCCCTCTTTTCCGCCCCCGAACAACCCGGACCCTTCGGCTCTCCAGGAAGCCGCCGGGGCCCTCCTCCCATCCAGGGCCCGCGGAAGCCGCCGGAACGTGCTGGTGACCGCCTCGTGGGCCCCGGGCGTGCCTGGAACGGCAGCGGGGCCTGCGAGGGCCGTGGCCATGTGCGGGCCCACTGTAAGCGGGCGAAGAACGGTATAACATAAACTGTTCTGCCGTCGGGGACGCCTGCCCCTTGGCGGTGCCACCGTAAAGGTACAAATTAAACTTTCCGGCCGCCCTGGGACAGGCGCCCCCGACAGCGAACAAGTTTATTTTATACCGTTCTTCGCCCGTTAACGCTGGGGCTTCCCCAGCTCCGCCAGGACCTCCCAAGGAACGCCTGGTGGACGCCTTGGGCCTCTCCAGGAACCGCCCTGCGGGCCCAACGACATCCTCCGGGCACGACGTGCCGGGGCTCGCTGGACCGCCTGGCGCATGCCAGAGAAAGCCTCTTGGAACCCGTTGCGGGCCCACGGGAGGTCCCCAGGAGGAGGAGGAGGAGGAGGAGGAGGAGGAGGAGGAGGAGGAGAAGGAGGAGGAAGAGGAGCAGGAGGAGGAGGAGCAGGAGGAGGAGGAGGACGAGGAGGAGCAGGAGGAGGAGCTCCGCGAGGTCTGGCGGACCCGTTGGGCCCTTCCCGAGTGCCCCCCGCCAGCCCCCTGAAGCGCAACAGGCGCTGCCCAGGGCCGCCCCCCGGCTTAGGTCGGACATGTCTCCCTACACGCGGATCTTGTAGGAGAAACACTAAATTCAATTAAAACTATACAAGAATGACCAAAAATGGTAGAAGCATCATCCCAAGACTGGTTTTCCCCACGTGCTTAGTGGGGTTCTGCTTTTCTTCCTTCCCGCGTCGCCCCCGCGTCTCCTCCTCACTCCTCCTTCTCCTTCTCCTTCGCGCACAGCACAGCGTAGCACAGCGCAGCGCAGCGCAGCGCAGCGCAGCGCGGCACAGCACAGCCCAGGCCAGCACTATTCTGGTTGTTCCCCACATGTTTTGTGGGGTCCGGTTTTCTTCCCGACATGTTTCGTGGGGCTGTGGTTTTCTTATCTGGCGCGTCGCACCCACGTCTTCCACCCGCCTCCCTCTCCTTCTCCCACTCCACATCGCAGGGGGAACGCAGGGGGTGGGGTCGTTATGCGCGTCAGGGTCCACGGGCGTGGCAGGCAAGCGTGGCAGTTTCTCGACACAAGAGGGGGCGCGCAGGGGGTGGTCCCTGAGCGTGGCGTCTATGCGGGCCATGGCGTAAGGCACGGCAGGCGTGGCATTTTCCTGACACTAGACGGGGCACGGAGGAGGTGGTCCCTGAACGCGGCGTTTATGCGGGCCATGGCGCAGGGCACGGCAAGCGTGGCTTTTTCTCGACACCAGAGTGGGTGCGCAGGGGGTGGTCCCTGAGCGCGGCGTCTATGCGGGCCATGGCGCAGGGCACGGCAGGCGTGGCATTTTCTCGGCACCAGAGTGGGTGCGCAGGGGGGACTCCCTGAACGCGACGTCTACGCTGGCCATGGCGCAAGGCGTGGCGTTTTCTCGACGCCAGAAAGGGGTGCGCAGAGGGGTGGTCCTTGAGCGTGGCGTCTATGCGGGCCATGCCGCAGGGCACGGCAGGCGTGGCACTCTCTCGACACCAGAGGGGGCGCGCAGCGGGTGGTCCCTGAGCGCGGCGTCTATGCGGGCCATGGCGCATGGCACGGCAAGCGTGGCATTTTCTCGACACCAAGAAGCGATGCACAAAGGGTGGTCCCTGAGCGCGGCGTCTATGCCGGCCATGGCGCAGGGCACGGCAGGCGTGGCTTTTTCTCGACACCAGAGTGGGTGCGCAGGAGGTGGTCCCTGAGCGCGGCGTATATGCGGACCATTGCGCAAGGCGTGGCATTTTCTCGACGCCAGAGGGGGTGCGCAGGGGGTGGTCCCTGAGCGCGACGTCTACGCGGGCCATGGCGCAGGGCACGGCAGGCGTGGCATTTTCTCGGCACCAGAGGGGGCGCGCAGCGGGTGGTCCCTGAGCGCGGCGTCTATGCGGGCCATGGCGCAGGGCACGGCAGGCGTGGCATTTTCTCAACACCAAGAAGCGGTGCACAAAGGGTGGTCCCTGAGCGCGGCGTCTATGCCGGCCATGGCGCAGGGCACGGCAGGCGTGGCTTTTTCTCGACACCAGAGTGGGTGCGCAGGAGGTGGTCCCTGAGCGCGGCGTATATGCGGGCCATGGCGCAAGGCGTGGCATTTTCTCGACGCCAGAGGGGGTGCGCAGGGGGGGGTCCCTGAGCGCGACGTCTACGCGGGCCATGGCGCAGGGCACGGCAGGCGTCGCACTTTCTCGACACCAGGGTGGGCGCGCAGGGGGTGGTCCCTGAGCGCGTCGTCTATGCGGGTCATACCGCAGGGCACGGCACGCGTGGCATTTTCTGAACACAAGAGAGGGCGCGCACCAGGTGGTCCCTGAGCGCGGCGTCTGTACGGGCCATGGCGCAGGACACGGCAGGCGTGGCATTTTCTCGATACCAGAATGTGTGCGCAGCGGGTGGTCCCTGAGCGTGGCGTCGATGCGGGCCATGGCGCACGGCACGGCAGCTGTCTCGACGCCAGAGGGGGCGCGCAGGAGGTGGTCCCTGAGCGCGGCGTCTATGCGGGCCATGGCGCAAGGCACGGCAGGCGTGGCCTTTTCTCGACACCAGAGTGGGCGCGCAGGGGGGCGGTCCCTGACCGCGGCGTCTATGCGGTCCATGCCGCAGGGCACGGCAGTCGTGGTAGTGTCTCGACACCAGAGGCGGTGCGCAGGGGGTGGTCCCTGAGCGCGTCGTCTGTGCGGGTCATGCCGCAGGGCACGGCAGGCGTGGCACATTCTCGACACCAGAGGGGGCGCGCAGCGGGTTGTCCCAGAGATTGCTGAGCCAGCAACACACATGATATTCAAAAGAAGTATGTGGGGTTCCTCGGTAGCGTAATTCAACTATTGTTGGATATTCTCCCTGACGAAAGACAGGCCCGACTGAACTCTGGAGAAGACCCTCCAAAGCCACCTGGAGCACTGGAGAACGCAACCGCACCTTTCAGGAAAAGGCGAGGGCGAGGCGGAGGCAGCCGGAGGAGGGGGGCGACAGGCGAGGAGGAGGAGGCAGATGAAGGGGCCCAGGGACACACAAATAGATAAACACAAGCAAGAAGATGCTCTATATGTTCTGATACTTTCTGGCTTTTTGTCATCCCCCCACTTCCCATATGTTCCCCAGTACTTTTTGGGGAATCAGCAGTAATTGTGTCTGTAGATTTTCCTCTGTTGAGAGGTGGCGGAGATGGAAGGGGGGGTTCGGCCCCAGGTTGCGCGCTCTTCGGAGGCGTGCGCCTGTTTCACTGAATCGTGCGCTCCATATCATCCACGGTCTCGGCATGCCAAACTTTCCGCACACACACACACATATACATATATGAATATATATATATATATATATATATATATATATATATATATATACCACTATATATATGTGTATATGTAGGTTGGACCTGTCCCCCTACAAGCGGAGCTTGGGCGGACAATCAAAAAACAAACAATCAACAAATACGTAAACAATAGTCCCTTTACTATTTTTACTACCTATATGTGAATACTCCTCCTGTAGATTGACAGGCCCGACTTTAATGTGTCTCTCTCTATATAGATAGATAGATAGATAGATAGATAGATAGATAGATAGATAGATAGATAGATATATCCGAACGTGATCAGAACGGCCTTTCCGGAACGCCTCCCGGGTGCACCTGGAACTCTCCAGGAAACCATAAGCTCTTCTTCAAGCGGAACGAGTTCCACTTGTGTGCGCTCCAGAACCTCTCTCGGGCGCACTAGGGACTTTAGGATTCCATACTGGGACACCATCCTGACTTTCAAACTATCGCGCTCATCTAAGGCTGGGTAAAATGTGTAGTCGGCTAATCATGTAGGCTGGATTCTGTGATGCCTATTTTCCCATGCAGCCCCTAGCTGTAGAAATATATTTCTATCAATGAACATATTGCTAGGCCAGCCTTTCCTGCAATGTCGTATTGCACCAGGCCGTTAAGGGCCACACCGTTTGCCCGCCTGCGGTAAGTGACATAAACATCCACACTACGGAACGATGCGATAAACGCCCAGATGGTCGCCTCCAGGCTCTAAGCAAAGCCTCGCGGATGTTCCACCACTCAGCGGCACGCCGCCGAGGAGGGAAACCGCGCACTCGGTGGAGGGAGAAAACACTGCGCACACGCACACCTGAGCATTAGGGTGGAGGGCTCAGGGTGAAATCCATATGGGTTTTTGCACCTCGAAAATCAGTTCGTCTTGTGATTCACCGCTTGCAGATTCAAGCCTCGAAAATCCATCGAAACAGCATTTCAGATTTCACCCTTTGCCCTCCGCCCAAAAAAAATGTTCCGCACACCGTGGAAGGCCCGTGCAGAGCTGTTGGATCGGCGCACAGGCCCCCCGCCGTGGCGCGCGGAGCGCGTCAGGGACGGCGCTGGAGGCGCCGCCGGCGGGCCCAGCGCGGATCCAAGACATACGCGAGGACCTTCGACAGTCTCCTCAACAACGCTTCTCCAAACGCCCGGTGACGAGGCCCGGGCCCGAAATCGGTGACCCCCTCGTGACCCCCCTCGTGGCTGCGTGAGG